CTGTAAAACCTGTTAAAAACACTAAATGACCGGCAGTCCCATATTCTCGGTAAATTTCACAAAATCGAAAGATTCTAGCTAATCTAAACTATCATATGTCGATTAAGACAAGTCAAGCGATCCTGAAATGCATTATAGATCTCAAGTCTAGTGTTTGGTTTACGCTGGGCTCAGCAGACGAAACCGTGTTTTGTGACACTTAGAACTGTTTTAAGCTCGACTGCCGGTCAAGGTTTTCAAAACTCTGCTAAATGGCCGGTAGTCCTATATTCTCAGTAAATTTCATAGATGTTATGACGTCAAACGTCGCCTGTCACGCCATGCTTTGGACAGAAAATAGTAACGAACATCCACAGACCGTGAGACCAACAAAAACATGATATAGATATCCCACAAAACCGGCTGGTTTGCTCAGGATCACGACTTGATAGTTCAGAACGGCTGAATTTTTTCAATTTGTGAAATTTACTGAGGATATAGGACTACCGGCCATTTCGTGTTTTGAAAACCTTGACCGGCAGTCGAGCTGAAAAAAATTCTAAGTGTCACAAAACACGGTTTCGTCTGCTGAACCTAGCCGTAAACCAAACACTAGACTTGAGATCTATAAAGCATTTCAGGATCGGTTGACTTGTCTTAATCGACATATGATAATTTAGATTAGCTAAAATCTTTCCATTTTGTGAAATTTACTGAGAATATAGGACTGCCGGCCATTTAGTGTTTTGAAAACCTTGACCGGTTACCGGCCATATAGCCACAGCGAAAAAAAAAACTTAAATTAATGAAAAGTAGCTGGAGGTATTCCACAACCATAGGTTTAAAGCATTCTCAACTTAAGTGGATTCAGCTCCGTTCGCTAGTTTGACAGAACCACTTGTATTTTTCGCCTCGCAATATTATTGTGCAGTGCTCAGTTTTGCGTTCAGCCTCTCTTCAAATTGCAACGATTAACCCTTACCTTTCAAAGTATCAACGCGATCACCGATCACCGTTTTTCAGTTTGTTCAACTTACGAGATTTCTTGCAGAGAACCTTCTGAGCTTCCTCAAAGGCGAAATTACTTGTACGTGCTGTTCCCCT